GCTTAAACAAACAAGAAAGAACAATATTCATAGACATTAAAAGCATAAGAAAGAAACTGATACCGGTTTCACAGTGTGAGGCAGTTTACCCCACACATCCCCGCCATAATACATCATTGGTCTTTCTGTAAAAATTACACAAACAGAATATCAAGGTGGGAACATATGTATATCATATTTCCGGGAACAAAACAATTGATCATATACCAGACAAATCAACAGTAGGGTCATTGTATAGATGCATTGCAGCTGCCCAACCTACAATCAAAATAGCAAAGTGCTTCGAAAATGAGACACACACACATACACACATATCAAAGAATCGTAATCAAGTGTCAATGATAGAGCACCCTAACTCTCTCAAGGTCCCAAACCAGAGCCACTCACTCGACCCCTTCTATACATGTTGATTCCACTAACAATTCACATGTTGATAAGGCATTTGTATTCAGTGTTATTCTTATCAAGCTCCAACCTCATGATTTTCAAACTATTTTCACCCTAGAACTCAATTCAAAGGTTCCACAAAAGCACATAAATAGTACACTTATCTCATACATGCTTGTTTTTTAGTTTAGTCATCAGATAAAAGTGGACAATATGAATATAAAAGGCAACGCTTCCGTAAGATTTGAGAGAAGTAGGAGACAGTGATGAGATCGAACAGAAGCAAAAATATGATTAAAGACTTAATTCAGAAAACATACGACCACTAAGAAGCTGATAAGCTTCACTCCCACAGCAACCCTCTGGAGATATAATCCTTGGAGAAGAGTTTTCCTTCTGGAAACCAACAGCAACAGGCTGACTTCTCTCCCCCTCGTTGCCAATGGAGCTTCCTGTTTCATCAAGTTGTTCTCCATTTACTTTAGCAAAAAGGAAATAACCACAAACAAACACACACACACATGCCGTATATAATAAAATCATTACAAGCAAAAGTGGTCTGAATCTTCTATAATTGCTAAAACAACCAGCAAGATAATGAAATTGTCCTGAAAAAACCACATGAAAAACCTCCAGATTTTTTCAATATAATGACTGCAAAATCTGAATTACAGATTAAAAATTGAATCATTATCACTCAAAATGTTCATAACGTCACAAAGCAACTGCTTACAGATTTTTTATGCTACTAAGTGGAGCAGTGTCTCTACAATGAGATAAGCTCTCTTCCTCTAAATTTGCTAGTCTAAGCTGTGTAACCAAAAAAAATTAGATACTCTAGAAATCAATACAAGAAAAAAAAAGAGGGAACCTACGAACCTCTTGATCTCCTTCGGTTCGAAGAACGGTTCCTACGAGGCAGAAAAGAAACCTCAAAGGAAGCCGAGAAATCGAAATCAGTCGGAAGCATATGAGAAATTACTACCTTTGGTTAGGTGGAGTGTATCGTTTAGGTGCGGAAGTTGGATCCACCATGGATGAGTTTGGGTTCTGCATCTCCCCTGGAGATCTGTGTCAACTCTACACACACATCTCTTCGCCGAGCTTATAGAAATGGGTCTTCTGGTCGAATGTCTGTAATCTCCACGCGCCAATCCTTCAGCGCGTGTTTTTCAACCGCATTTTATTACACCTTCGCTTACTGAAAATTCCTTAATATTGTACATAACTATATAGTTCGAACTAGATATTATTTCCGACCACAGTAATTGAACGAAGCTTTTAATTCTAAGTTACAAAATTTTATTATTTTGTGAAATTTATAGAACTAAATAAATATCCTTACAGAGAAAATTCTGAATGACAACAATAAAAATGGACAGTTTTCTCAAAAAGCCTCTAAAATTTAATAAATTAAGGAATTGGCCAATAGTCTCCTTCAATTATACGGAAAGCAGTGGCACATGTCAAAACTAGCCGTTGCCTTTCCTTTTTTCGAAACAGCCGCTCCTTCTCATTTCCTCTCTCTCTCTCTCTCTCTCTCACTCACAGCTGCACATTTCGTCTCTCTCGCTCTAGCTGCACATTTCGTCTCTCCATGGCGACCTGTATCAGAAAAGGATCACCCAAATCGGAGATTCAACTTCAACCTCGCGTCAGATCTCCTCTCTCCGAGAACCTTTCTCCAGCTACCTTCCCACGATCTCCTCTCTCGTTTGTCTCTCCTAAGAGCTTACCTCACTTGAATTGGAACTCCGGCCTATCATCGCCTACGCTCGTGACTCACATTCTTCACGATGGTGATGACGATTCCGACGAGGAAAACAAAGAAGACGAGGAAATGAGTATCTCATCCGTTTCGGACGCCGGAGGAGGCAACGAGTTATTCTCCGATTACGATGTTGAAGATGACGAGGCAGAGGTAGTTGAGAGACGTTACGATGAAGAAGAAGTGTTTGGGCCGCATAAGTCCAGCTCAAAATTGAACAGAGGGATGCTGGAAAATAAGAATCTGAGAATTGAAGTTCCGTTTGCGAAAAGAAGAGTCACCGACGGTGAATTAGGACTCCGGAAATTCGCTCTGAAGAATTCAACTCCAGCTAGTTGTCTCCCCCAGGAACGGCCACATACTCTGAGCTCCAAGGTATACCTATTTGGCCTCACTGAAATTTTGAATTGCGTAATTGTAGATATGTTACCGCTGAATTAAAAGTCTAAGTGTATACTTGCAAAAGGCCCTAATATTAAGCTAAATATGATATTGAATTTTACTGTTTCAGGGTTCGGTGTACTGGGACATGGAAGATATGGGAACACCAAGCGCACCTCCAATAATGGAAAGTGGACAAGAAGATAACAGCTTGGAAATGGAAAGGGAAATTGAGCAGATTGAGGATGAGATTTGCAGAGAAGCGGGAGTAGATAGTAATCAAGTAAACATGGGAGGCATAGCTGATTATAAAAGTTCGCAATTGTATATAGATGCAGAAATTGGGGAAAGGTACTGCTGCTGGCTTTAACGAGCTTTCTATTTTTTTTATGTGGACCAGTCTTGATGTGTTTAACCACGGTTTGGTGCAGTGTGAGGGATACTAAAAATGGGGAAGATGAGCAAATCCAGGAAATCCACTCGGATGAATTAGATTGCCATAGTATCAGGTTAAGTTTTCTTCAATATTTTGAATGAACTTTACTATGGCAAACAAAATGTTGACATTTCTCTTTACAATCTTTCAACGGCAGTGGTCAATATGCTTGGCAAAGTCTTCTGGCATATGATGCTTGCGTAAGACTATGTTTGTATGCATGGTCAAAGGGATCTTCTGAGGCACCTGAGTTTCTGCGTGATGAGTGTCGTCTTCTTCGAGGTGCATTTGGGTAGGAAGTGTGTTTCTTTACGGTTTCTAAGAAATGACTTTTTTTGTCTTGTATTGAGTTATTGAGCCAGTCTTTTGTATATGTGTTGTTATAGTTTGCATAAGTTTCTCTTACAACCCCGGGGTTTGCGAGCCACTGAAGAAAACAAAAATGTGAAAGCAGAGCAAAAGACATCCCTGAAGGCTAAAAACATGGTCAGGAAGTTAAGGGTGGAAGGTAAACTTTTCTTTTTCTGAATGTGCTAAATCTTGAATACGAAAATAAGTCTTGTAGCTGCCTGACATGAATCAGATATTTATACCTATTTTCTTTTGATTGTTTTAGTAAAGAGACTTCGATTGATACCACAACGCAAACTTAGAGGCATAGATTCGCTGCGGAGTTTAATGAATATGCCAATGGGAGCAGAGTATTGCCGACAAGTTTCATCACTTGTGAAGACTGGGATGAGTTCTATTAAACAGGCTACCCTCTCAGCAGTTTCAGAAGGTTCTGATTTTGTTACGTGGAACTAATCATATATTCAACCATTTTCATGATATTTATAAGTATAGGCCTAGATAAAACATCTATTGATATCAAATGACAAGACTTATTCTTATGATTCTACTTGCAGAACAATTCTCCTGCTACCTTCAAATGAAGAGCACAGCAGAAGGAGGTCAAATTGAACAAGGATCTTCTGTTTGTTTGCAATCAGGAACTGGAAGTTACCATGTCTTGTAAGCCCTTTTTCTCTCTTGAAAATCAATGAATGTGTCTCCTAGCTATGTCTGCAAATGGTTGTTTGAGAAAATTATGAACTTACCTGTAGCTATGCCATATTGTTTGAATAAATAAGAACTTCGTGGAAAGTTTTAGAATTTTAGTTGTATAGTTTTCTGAGTACAGAGAGTCTTACTCACAACTCCTCATTCAGCTTTCCCGAGTCCGAAGGCGACGCTATTCTGATAGAAATTCAAGATAAGAAGAAATCAGTTCAAGGAAAAGTAACGATTCCTATTGCATCCTTGACTGAAAATCCGGTAAATATGACTTTAGGTGTCCTTCTCTCAGAATACGTTTTGGTGCTTTGTAAAAAATTAGCTATATTGAAGAAAAATCTATTTGTTCAGAATGAAAATGTTAGGTGGTGGCCAATATACCATGGTGAACAAGAATGTGTTGGCAAGATCCAGCTCTTTATTGGTAACACGACCACATCCGATGAAGACTATCACATAAAGGTTTGTTCTTTCTCCAACAATCCTCAGATTCTCTATGTTTTTTCCTGTGAGATAATGCCCCTTACTAAAGTTTTGCATCTTTGTATGTTACAGAGTGCACCTGTTGTGGAGACACTGGCATACGATTTGCTAGTAGAAGCTGCTACACGTGCTCAAAAGTTTCATTCTCAGAACTTAAGCCTGAATGGATCTTGGAAATGGCTGTTAAGCGAATTCGCAGAATATTACGGAGTTTCCGATTCATATACTAAACTGAGGTAAAGACATTTAGTTAGAGTGTTGTATCTAGATTTCAAGATCTATTAGCTCAAACATATTGCACCATACATTGCAGATATCTTTCACATGTGATGAATGTGGCAACTCCAACAAAAACCTGCTTACTACTTGTGCATGAGTTACTTGTGCCAATCCTAATGGCTCGAAGTGAGAAATGTTTGACCAGGCAGGAGGTAAACTCCCCCTTTCTTCTGCAGATCACATTTTAGTTTGATTGCTGCTTGCTTGATTACCTTTGTGGCTCTCTAGGGGTAGTTATTGACGACACATTCTACTTTTGCAGAAAAGTATCTTAATGGATTGTGAGATAGAGATAGAAAAACTCTTGGCAAACGTTTTTGAGAATTACAAGTCCTTAGATGAAAACTACCCATCAGGTTTGGCAGACATATCTGGTCCGGTGAAAGAGACGGCTTCAGCAGCACTTTCTCCAGCTGTTCAGGTTTTCAGCCTCCTTAATGATATATTGTCTCTTGAAGCACAAGATATTTTGAAGAATTACCTTCAGGTAGGCTTTTCAACCATCTTCAAGACTATGATGTTCACAGTTATATAAAGTATGATGAGATGAGCACAAATTTATTTTCTCTAATGGAAAATCTACTGCAGACAGCAGCAAAGAAGAGGTGTCGGATGCACATGGTTGAAACCGATGAGTATGTTTCCTGCAACTCTGAAGGTTTTCTTTTGGATTCCGTCACAATCTCTACAGCCTACCTGAAAATGAAGAATCTTTGTCAAAACATAAGCAACGAAATAGAGACTGATATAAAGATCACCAGTGAGCATGTATTCCCAAGGTACTATGATCCAATTCAAACATGGAACTGACATTTGTCATCTTGTTTTCATCTTCAGACAATCTCTTGATATTGATTCGGTCTTATTTTCTCATACTTTGTTTGTCATTTCAAGCTCAATCGACCTATCAAATATAGCAGCTGCCGTATACAGCACTCAACTATGTACCCGGCTCAGGTTTTTTCTGTCAGCAGTGCCACCATCCTGCCCACTGCCTCATGTCAATGAGCTTCTGATAGCAGTTTCCGATTTCGAAAGAAAACTCGATTCATGGGGCATCAGGTTTGACATTAGCTTTCTGGAATCAAAATATGATGGACCCTCATTCAATCTCTTAACAGTTTTACTTTACTCTATGCAGTCCTGTACAGGGTGGCATAGACTCGAGGGGATTATTCCACAACTACATAATGGTTTGGATACATGATATGGAACTTAGACTACTTGACCGATGCAAAGCCGAAAAGGTACCATCCTGATTATTTTGGGTTGATCCTCAAAATAAAAAAAGCATATCATTTGACTGTAACAAGCTTTTGGCAGGTTCCATGGTCTGGTGTAATAACAAATCACTCAACATCACCATTTGCTGAGGACATGTATGAGAGAATAAAAGATTCTCTTATAGAGTATGAAGTGGTGATTAGTAGATGGCCACAATATACACTGATCTTGGAAAATGTGAGCTACATAGTTTATATGAGTGATAAGTTTGCTGCTTATCAAGACTAACTTGTGTTTACTCTATTTGTCATGTACTCTTTTGGAAGACTGCTTCAATTGTAGAGAGAGCCATTGTTAAATCGCTGGAGAAACAATACAATGACATACTGACTCCTTTAAAAGACAGCATTCCAAAGAGGCTAAACATGC